CGCTTTTTTTTGCGCCTCACGCTTAAGCTCCAGAGGTCTATTGGGCTTTAGTGCGCCTCGAGCATTTTAAAACACTGTCTGTACTACATTTATCTTGATTGTATCTTTATTTTCATTCTTCTTCCTACCCCTTCATTTCACCCCTTCGAGGGTTTGTATCTTTGAACAATTTTTATTCCTTATCATTTATCAATGAAAGTTCGTTTCTTGATCAAAAAATGCTAACTAGTAATTCTTCGACTTTGCACCCAAAAAGATCAGCAATGACTTTATTCAACCAACCTCTGCATCAACTTTAGGCATCACTAGTTTCTCCAAATTCACCTTCAACCCAAAATCAACACGTGCTGAAAAAAAAAATTTGCCATATTTAACTTCATGAAAAACAAACCGGCAACTTTCCAACGCATCATTTTAACATCACTAGTTTCACCTCTTTTTTTTTTCATTTTCTCCTTAATCTTCACTCTATTAATTTGTCTTATTCCAATCATTGCTTTTCACCATTCTTCCTTTTCTTCTACTTTTTTCCTCTATTTTTTACTCTGTGCCGACAACAAGTGGCTGGACAAGTGGGTGTTGACGTTAATGGCAAAATCGGTTGTGGTGGCAGCAAGTGGCAGCAAAAGCGGATGGCGCCGGCAATGGCAAAGGCGGCGAGCGCACATCTTTTGCGTGGTGAACTGGAGTGTACATTGGGGTTTTAGGAGTGAAATATCTAGAATACGGACCCCTACCCAGAAACCCTTGGTGTACTTTTTCTACTTGGTGGGTGTGGGTGGCCTTTGTTTTCGTGGTCAGACTTACGCTATTTTGTTTAAATTTATTTATATTTCTAAATTTATGTTCGGCTTCTAATTGGGCTTCTAAGAGTGCGCTTATGAAACAATAAATTTCCCTTCCAATGACCAAAACATTTCTCTGCCATGTCCCAAAGGAAAAAAAAACGGACACTTAAATTTGCATGTCGAACACGTGTCTGGATGTATCCATGTCCAACACGGACACTCCGCCTAGTTTGGAGTGTCAATGCTATATAGCTTTGTCATCCATAAAAGGATTGGCAGTACACTTTTGAGAGAATTTCGCATCCAAAGCTAAAAAAAAATCCTTCCATTAATGTGGATATTTCTCTGGTGAACAGAAGATAAATTTTATCAACCATGCATAATATTAAAATGGGCTTTTAGAAGATCCAAAAAATTTTGGTCCCACGAGAAACTTTGAAGATTTAAAGCTTTTGTGTGCTAAGGGTTTGGCATTCATAATTTTTTGGTTGTCAAACATTATGTTTAGTTACAGTTAGTTTGCATTCCTTATTCAGTTGCCGTGATTTCTCCCCATCTGCATCCAATATTTAAAGATTTTTGTAGAATTTTCAAAGTTGCAAGCAGATAGTTTTTATTGAATCAGAGAGCTAAAAGATGGAAAGATCTAGTCAACAAATTGTTATCGTTACTAGTTGGAAGCTTCTCCACAAACATCTTCATTGTAACAGCACAATAATCACATTTGACGAAAAAGCCTAAATAATTCATGTGAAAGTCAAAGTGATACCCTCTGCAAAACCGCCTCGGCTTCTTTCCTTCCCATCTGCTCATGCCGAAAAGCATCAACAGTCTCTTGGTACTTAGCATACATTTTGGCTAACTGTAGTAGAAAAAATAAATAACTTACTTCAACTTAAGCTAGAAATAGATCAATAAAGACATCACTAGCATCATATGTTTCTAATTCATCAACAAAAGCATACATTTAGAAATTACAAAAAACCAAATGCCAACAACAAAAAGTAAAGAACTCACACTCCAACCGTCACGCAAAAGCGAAGCAGCTAAAGCTGTCCCAGAAACACCTATAGGTAACTTGGGGTCGAGTTTGTGATTGTCATCAACTACCTCACTACTTTCCTTCGAATGTATCCAACTATCCCAGAAAATTTAAAATAAATAAATTGGCATCAGTACAAACAACAAAAAGAGGATTAAAGAATAACTCAAAGCTAGATTACACAAGACCCAAATGAGAACCATCTGCTGACCAATCAGGCAACATCAAATAAATCATAGATTATATGTTTCACAAAAAAACAATAGAAATAACTCCAAAAATAATTTGAGTTTTGCTTGGGCACGAAGAAACCTTAATGCTAAAGGAAAGATCAAACAAAAGGCCTGCCAGATAAGTTATGAGAGAAGGGAGAGAATAACAAAAAAAATGTGTCAAGAGCTCTCCAATTAGAGGTTGTATGTTGTACACAGTGACAAAATTTAACATAAGAATCGAACTATATAAAAAAGTAAACCAATCACATTCCTTTAGCAATAATACTTTAGCCTTGTCTCCCACGCTACCAATCTCAGTGCAATTCCTTTTTTTTTTAGATCAAAATCTTTAGATGAGTTTGAACAGAATAGTCCTAAAATCAAAAAACCCACGAACTTTTCAACTGTTCTACTATTTATAATCAAACTCGATTCCATAATAAATATATTAACTCAGATTAGCGTCATTGCTGTCAATATCATAAATGGTGATAAGTATTCAGTACCATAAATGCTCGAATTTGCATAGATTGGTTAACTGTTGTGTAAATGGTCCAAGCATGGATGGATTTTGCGAGCCTTCTGCCACAAAACTGAAGTCTCTAGAAAGTCTGCGCTGATCACAAGCAAGAGGAACTACACGAGTTTCAACCAACCATTTATATCATCACCACTTCTATAGGACCAATAATTGCTAATTTGGAGCAATGAGCAATCTGAGTCTTCCAACATCAATGGTAATATGGGTTGGTAACTTCAATGATTTTCCCATCTCTTGCAAAATAGCACGTTTTCCTCACTTTCTATTTACAAACCACCTTGGGTTGTGCACACATCTCCCACCTATTCAAGGCTTTCAGTGAACGATGATGGAGCTTCTTATAGAGACCCAAAGTTTGGATGACTGCACTGGGCAGCAATTTTTCCTTTCCCCATTTCCAAATCATTTCTCACAACCAAGCCCCTAAGGGACAGCCCAGTGCGGGAGAAAGTCTGGGCTGATCACAAGCAAGAGGAACTACAAGAGTTTCAACCAACCATTTATATCATCACCACTTCTATAGGACCAATAATTGCTAATTTGGAGCAATGAGCAATCCGAGTTCTTCCAGCATCAATGGTAATATGGGTTGGTAACTTCAATGATTTTCCCATCTCTTACAAAATAGCACGTTTTCCTCACTTTCTATTTACAAACCACCTTGGGTTGTGCACACATCTCCCACCAATTCAAGGCTTTCAGTGAATGGTGACAGAGCTTCTTATAGAGACCCAAAGTTGTGTGACTGCACTGGGTCGCAATTTTTCCCTTCCCCATTTCCAAATCATTTCTCACAACCAAGCCCCTAAGGAAACCCAGTTGGCAAAGGCTTGGGATCTCTGGTTATACTAGCTTAGAGGTCTCAAGTTCGAACTTTCTAGTGAGCTTAATACTAAAAATCCTTGATGTCTCCTAGGTCCGGGTCCTGGGTAGGTGTAGGTGCCCCTAAGTATAGGGGAGCAAAGATCTGATTCTCAATTATCCAAAAAATATCATTTTTCACAACCAAGAGAAATTAAAGAAGAAACAAAACGCAAAATAAAGGCAAGAACAATTACAACTTTTGAGCAAAAACTTCACAATTAAGACGTATCATGCTAGGTGGATTTATTTTCTCTCGCAGATTAATTCTCTAATTTCCCCTATCCCTATTTAGTTGTTTGTTCTAATTGGGGTGATAGAAAACAAGCTATTCAAGGGTGTTCTCTCTCGCAGATTTATTCTCAAATTTCCCCTATCCTAGTCTAGTTGTTTGTTCTAATTGGGGCGCCTTTATTTTTCCTCTCTAGTTTCTTTCTAATTTCTTTTTACTTTCTATGCGTTCTTGTTTTTGTTTCTTTTCCTTCTCTAAGGAGTTGGTATCTTTGGACATTTTTTGTTTTTTCATTAATCAATGAAAAATCCTCTCTTGAAAAAAAGTAACAGTTAGAATCTCATCTTCAGTTTATGATCTATCAAGTAGGTGTTTGGTTATGATTTCCAAGCGAACTCATGCTTTTTTTTGTTATACAATACTTCGAACAAATGAACCAAATAACCCAAACCAACTCAACCCAAATATTTCGTGGTTGGGTTGGGTTCATTATTTAATAAGGGTTGCTTGGGCTGAATAAATTTACAACCCGAACAATTGGGTTGGTTCTAAAAATTAATGTTAATTGTACAACATAAATAGGTTTCTGATTCTATATTTTTTTTTTTTTACAAGAAACAACTTTTCATTGATATATGAAAAGGAAAAATGTTCAAGATACAAAACCCCCAAGGGGTGAAAAAATAGTGACAAAGTACAGTGCTCCCTTTAGGATTAAGATAACTTTTCCTAACACAGACATAAACCCGATATACTGTGAGTTACCCACTATCTCTCATAATACAAAGAATTTACCAAAATACCCCCCAACATATAGAAATATTCATACTAAATAACTATGAAGACAAGACTATGACTTTCAAGATCTGGGTATGAAGAAATCCTTAGGGCCGTCGAAGGAAAGCAAAGAGAACAGGAATATTTTTTAAGTTCCTTAAACTTTAAACTCTTCAACGTGTACTCTAAAAATCTTTTCTGCAAGTATTAAACCATTTTGATTAATGGAACAAGGAGTCATTTCTTGTCAGCCCATTCAACCTCAGTGGGTCGAAATTTTATCACTTCGTCCCCTTTTCAAAAATTAGTGGAAATAATTGTCTTTAAAAAAATAACAAATTTAGAAGTATAACATACCCGTCTGAAGCGAAGCTGCCAAGGGGAAAAAGAGTGAGTTCATTCTTCTTCCTACTAAGTTCAATTTCTGCCTCGCACTTTTCCAGTTTCATTTTCAACGCTGTAGCCTCCTATGAACAATTACATAAAATAAAATGGTTAAATAACCAGAATATATAATAAACCCAAAAAAACAACCAATTGTCATATAAGAAATTAGAGATCACAAAAAGAAGCAAATAGAAATAAATGCAGCATCGCAATCTCGAATGGCCACAAGTTTGACAAAGAAAATTATCTTACCATTATAAGCATAAACAGATCCACAGTAGCAAGGCTTAACGTAATCAATCACAAATTCAACAAATAACTTCTCCCAAAAAACAAGTGGCAACAGGATTTTATTTGTTATGCCTCGAATTTCAGGTGTGGATCTGTTGAGAAGTCCTTTCTTCTTCCTCACTCGTGGAGTTGGCCTTTTCTATCCTTGTTACTTATATTTCAGCTGGTTACAGTTGAGTTTCTTCAAGGCTTTGAGCAGATTCTCCAAAAAGTGCATTTCTCTTCTTGTTTGAGGAATATCTATCGGAAATTTCTAAAGAAGACATTGTTTTATCCCTCGAGCTTTTATCAAGCCTGTCCTTCCCATTTGGGCTCCTATTTGTCCTCACTTGAACAAGCTCTCCAGCTTAAAATATTTTTTCCTAAGAAGCGGATTACGTTGTTTAAAGAGTATTTAGATGAGTTCAAGACCATGATTGAGTAGCCTTCATCATATCCCTCTCTGTAGTAGGTTTTGACGTTATTGGGTTCTCCAAGCTTTGTTGGCTGCAGTTTTCAGGGTTCTTCAGAGGAGGCTGTTGAGTTTTTTTTCTTTTATCCGTGTGTCTGGGTCAGCTTACGCGCACCTCGACTATTCACGGGCCAACCACCTAACCCTAGGGGTGAGCAAATGAACCCGAAAAACCGATCCGACTGACCAAAACCGACCAAACCTAAGTCGGTCGGTCGGTTTCCAAGGAAGACCGTTCGGTGGTCAATTTTAGAATTCAAACTCCGACCGGTCGATCGGCATCAATTAATGTCCCATTTCGACCGACCAACCGATGGTATACACTAACATAAAAAATAAAAATAAAAATATATATATTTATTATTGTAGGGTTTTGTACTGCATCGAGCCCCTAAACATCCATTTATTTGCACAGCCCCCCAAATTTAACTTTCCTTCACATCTCCCAAAAACAAGTCTTTTCACCGGTCACCCACTCCCTCATCTTTCTTCTCCTTTTCTTTTTCTTCTTCCTTCGTTCTTCATCTTTCTTCTTTCTTCTTCTTCCTTCGTTCTTCTTCTTTCTTTCTTCTTCTTCAACCTCTTATTCTTCTGTCCACCTCCTTCTCTATTTCCTTCAGCTCCTCCTTTTTTTTCCCGTTCGCAACGCTGCAGCCACTGATATTTTTTCTTTTGTGTGCATCCTCGTGCGCCGCTTCTCTTATGTGCGCATCACCAAGTACTGCCGTCCTCATCCTCTCTCTTCTCCGTCTTCTGTGCGCAGCGATCAGTATAAAAAATTGAAAAAAAACGATTTTCCGACGATGCCGACCAACCGAACCGACCAGTTGGTCGGTCGGCGCTAGGTACCTTAGAAAAAAAGTCGGTTTCCAAAGATGAAAACGACTAGGTCGGTTTTCGGTGTCGGGGTCGGTAACCGACCTCGACCGACCGATGCTCACCCCTACCTGACCCTACTACATTTGGTTGACAAGGAAACTCGTAGGATATTAAATTCTAGGTAGGTGGCCACCATAGTTTGAACCCATTCCCTCTAAGTTCTTTGCTATTTACAAGGCTGTTGAGTTTTAATATTCTTCATCTATTATCATTGTTTGTATTGCTCGTGTTGAGCTCTTTTTTGTTACTTTAGTTTCTTTTCTCTTTCTTTCACCCCTCTAGGGTTTGTATCCTTTAACATTTTTTCTTTCTATATATCAATGAAAGTTGTTTCTTGTTATAAAAAAATAAATAAATAAATAGAACTCCTGAGGGAGCAAGATAGAAACAAAAAGGACAAAACAAGAATATAACAGGCTCAACAAGAAGTGATACAACTCGCCTAAATAAGAATGAACATGAATAACCAATAACTACAAACATGAAAAACCAAACTGGAAATTCTACTATTATAAAATTAATAATACAGCAAAAATTCAACTATTTCATGATATTCTTCCATTCCATGATATCAATGAAAAGTTTGTTTACTGTTAAAAAAATCGATATTCTTATCAACTTTTTCATAATCTCTGTCACGAAACATTCTAAAATGCATTACATTCAAATAATATTCACCAATATGACATCCAACAATCAAACTGGAAATTCTCATCTACACTATTAAAAACAAAAAGAAGAATGCAAGAGAAACCCATATATTTGGCCTTTGGCACTGCACGAACAAACAAATGTTACAATGAGTCATCATTATAGAAAAGATAACTGAAAAAGTTTTGCTGCCCAATAGCTTTAAATAATAACAGTAAAAAATGCATTAGTTAACAATAAATCCACACCTCTTCCAAACTATTTATTTGAGATTCTTCCTTTGCAAGCTTCTCTTTGTAATCACTCTCAACTTGGTTCAAATGTGTCTGGCAGTAATTGCAAAAATGTACAAAATCAGAAAGGATCATAAAGTTGATAAGCTTATAACCTTTTTAGGTCCGATGGTATGGGGATATTCATATACTCCTAATGAGAGTATCTTACTTTGTGATGCGAAGAGTTCTGTCCTTAAATAAAATAAAATAAAATAAAAGATGAAATTTGATAAGTTTGTAACCTTTTTATAGTTAGATGGTAAGAGGTATATTCATATACTCCTGAAGGGAAGTTGAACGATATAGGGGATATTCATATACTCCTAAAGTGATAAGTTTATTACATTAGTGAGAAGTTGGACGGTATGAGTATCTTTGAACATTTTTTGTATCTTATCATTACATTAGTGAGAAGTTTATTTCTTATTTATTCTGATTCAAAAATGTAAGGTACGCTGGTTAAAATCAGGGGATGAGACAGTCTGATTGCCACTCGCATACACAGGTTCCTCCTCTCCAAAGCTTGGGTGGATGACTTTAAAGAAGCTAAATTGGTTAGGCTTCCTCGTATTACCTCGGACCACTTCCCTATCCTTTTAAGGTTTGGAAATCAGAAATGGGGTCCTTCCCCTTTTCGCTTTGAAAATATGTAGATGGATCATCCTTCCTTCAAGGAAAACATAGAGGCTTGGTGGTCTTCCCTACCTGCAGTTGGATGGCCCGGCTATGTCTTTATGAATAAGCTGAAAGGTATCAAGAACCATCTAAAAGTGTGGAATAAAGAAACTTTCGGGGTTGTTGAAACTGACCTTCGGAACTGTGAACAAAAGATAGAAGCTCTGGACAAGATTGAAGAAACTAGACTTCTCACTGATGTAGAAAAGTTTGAAAGAGAAAGAACATAGAAAGAATTACTTTAACCTGTCATTTAGAGAACACAGGAAATGGGCTCAAAAATGCAAGATAGAATGCCTGAAGGAGGGGGATGAAAACTCAAACTTCTTTCATAGATGGACTTCGGCTAGAAAGTCTAAGACCATTATATTCATGTTAGAAAAAGACAGTGGAGAGCTTCTCTCTTCAGAGGACGAGATTGTTCCAGAAATTGTTGGGTTCTATGAGCGGCGGTTTGGAGAAACCTCGGGTCTTTGCTTTCTTATTGAAGACGTACAATTGAACGGCCTTGTAGATTGTTGGTAGACGTGTCTTGAAAGACCTTTCGAAATTGAGGAAATTCAGCAGGCAGTTTTCAGCCTTGGAAACTTGAAATCCCCAAGACCGGACAGTTTCTCAAATGAATTTCTTAAAAAGTCTTGGAACATCCTCAAATCCGACTTATTGGGAGTGTTCCAAGATTTTTTTAGAAATGGGATTATCAATCGCTGTACCAATGAAACGTATATTTGTCTGATTCTGAAGAAGAAAAAGGCTATGAAAGTTGGTGAATACAGACCGATTAGCTTAGTGACCTCTTTGTACAAGATCATCTCAAAAGTTATCGCGGAAAGATTGTAGAAAGTTCTGCCGATGATAATTCATGATGCACAGTCTGCTTTTATTGAAGGTCGACAAATCTTCGATGCCATCTTGATTGCTTCAAAGGCAGTTGGGGATTGGGAGATGAGAAACAAGTCAGGCTTTGTGTTAAAATTGGATTATGAGAAGGCTTACGATAAGGTAGATTGGAGTTATTTGGAAGCTGTCATGGAACGAAAAGGCTTTGGTTCTAGATGGAGGAAATGGATTATAGGGTGCTTAACGTCTGCTAATTTCTCTGTGATTATTATCGGCCACCCCCGTGGGAAAATTTTCGCCAAAAGAGGATTAAGACAACGAGATCCACTCTCCCCTTTCCTTTTTACCTTAGTTGGAGATTCTTTTAGCAGATTGGTCCATTTTTGCAGCCAAAAAAGATTGATAAAAGGTTTTGGCGTTGGTAGACAGGAGGTGGAAGTCTCATTTACAATATGCCGATGACGCTATGATTTTCTGCCCAAACGAACCAGGCATGCTGGATAATTGGTGGATGATTTTAGACATTTTTCTCAATGCATCGGGGCTCTCTCTGAATCTAACAAAAACTGCCATTACAGGTATCCATGTCGAAGAGGATCTGCTCCAAGAAAAGGCTACAAGACTGGGTTGCAAAGTGGAAAGGCTCCCTTTGTCTTATTTGGGAATCTCTTTGGAGGGCAACTATAAGAAAAAAATTTTTTGGGATCCCTCGATTGACAAAGTTAAACAGAAGATCGATAAATGGAAGAACCTTTTTCTCTCAAAAGGTGGTAAACTTACTCTTGCACAATCCGTGATCACAAGTCTTCACCTCTATTTCTTCTCGGTTTTAAAAGCTCCTTCGAAGGTGGTTAATGAAATTGAGAAGTTGACTCGAGATTGCATTTGGAAAGAGGGAGGAAATAATGGCACGATTACTCACCTTGTGAGTTGGGGGAAGATTGCACTTCCAATGCAATTTGGAGGTCTCGGAATAGGGGCTCTTCACCAAAAAAACAATAGAATACTCCTCAGATGGCTTTGGAGATTCACCCAAGAAAGTAATGCGTTATGGAGGAAAGTGATTGTTAGTATCTATGGGGAGGATTCTCACGGGTGGAATACTCTTCCCCCCAAAGGGCTGTTCCAAAGGAAAACCGTGGTTCGACATTTTTAAAAACAGCTCTTTCTTCTCAAAATTTCTTGAGTTCAAGTTGAGTAAAGGGAGCCGAATCAAATTCTGGTCAGACACATGGATTGGGAATGAACCTCTTCAGAAAATGTTCCCAGTTATGTTCAGTCTTTCTACCAAGAAGGAGGCAACAGTCTTGGATTGCTGGAACGTACACAAGAATGACTGGGATATTGGTTTGCGTAGAGGCCTGTAAGATTGGGAGGTCGAAAGTTGGATGGGGATGATACAAGTTATCGATGTGGCAAGATTGGGGGAAGGAGAAGATCGGGTCTTGTGGTCTCTGGAAGGAAAAGGGAGGTTTTCTACTCGTTCGGCTTTTCTGAAGATGGTGGAATGTAGATCTTCTTTACGATCTCCTCTCATCTCGGCTATCTGGAAGTTCAAGGTCCCGAAGAAGATCAAAGTTTTTCTTTGGTCTCTTGCTCAAAGAAGCCTTAATACACAAGAGAAATTACAGAGAAAGTGCAAAAATTGGGTGTTATCCACATCGGTGTGTTCCCTCTGTCTGATGCATAGTGAAGACTTAGACCATTTGTTTCTTCACTGTCCTTTTGCGACCAATAGTTGGCTTTTCCTCTTAGAAACTTTTGATATCTCTATCTGCTTTCCAAGAAAGATTGATGATTGGTTGAATGAGGTTTTATTTGGTTGGGATCTTCCTAAGAAGACTACTTTTGGTTGGAGATGTGCTTCAAGAGCTCTTCTTTGGAATTTTTGGCTTGAAAGGAATTCTCGCGTTTTTGAAGATAAGCCTTCTACTTTTGAGATTTTTTGTAGGAATGTTTAGCACACGGCCTCTTGGTGGTGTATCAATTACAGTATTCTTTTGTAACTACAACCTTTCCATGTTTATGCACAATTGGAATGCGGTTGGTTAGGTTGTTGTTTAGTTTTTGGTGGGGTTTTCTCTACCCCAGCCTTTAGTCTGTACTTTCTTTATCAATACAAAGATGTTTCTTATCTAAAAAAAAATTAAATCAGGGGATGAGAAAAGCAAATTTTTTCACAAATTCCTAGCTGCTCGAAAGTGGAAAGTTCAAATTTCTGAGCTCAAGGATGAACAAGTTACTTCTCTTATCAATTAGAGGAAGGTGACGGACTATAGACCTATTAGACTAACCACTTCCACCTATAAAATTTTGGCCAAGGTCCTTACTGGACGGCTCAAGAAGGTTATTTCTAGCACAATCTTCATGAATCAAAGTGCATTATAGAAGGTAGACAGATTCTTGACCTGGTGCTAATAGCAAATGAGATTGTGAATTATTACAAAACTAATAAGAAAAGGGTGGATGTTAAAGCTTGACTTGGAAAAAGCCTTTAATACAGTGGATTGGAATTTTCTTAGTTTTGTTCTTAAAAAAAAAAAGGATTTGGTTGTAAGTGGATTAGATGGATTAATGATTGCATCAGAAGAATAAAATTTTTGGTTTTCATTAATGGTAGACCACATGGAAGAATACAAGTTTCGAGAGGCGTAAAGAAAGGTGATCCGCTTTCTCCTGTCCTTTTTCTCTTAATCAGTGATGTTCAAAGTAGTTTGTTGGACAACATCCATGAAAAGGGTATTTTTGAAGGCTTCATTGTTGGTAGAAATTCAGTTTATATTTTTCATTTGCAATTTGCAGATGCCACTTTGATATTTTGTAAAGATGATGGAATGGTGGAGATCCTTTTCAAGATCATTAAGGCATTTGAATGGCAGTCTGGTTAAAGGTGAAATGGAACAAATCTTCCGTGTGTGGTATTAATATTGACGCCCAAAAAGTTTCCCACAAGCATGTTGCTTCATGCTGGATTGTTTCCCACGAGAAGTTTTTTTGTAATTTTAGCCTCCAACTTATTCTTCAAGATTGGAAAGCTTTGATTCTATAGTTCTTAGGGAGGGTTCTCTCTACCCTCTGCCTTTCGGCTAGATTTTTCCCTTTCCAATACACCTTTTTGATGTTTCTTATCAAAAAAAAAATTATTGATGCTCAAAAAGTTGCATTGCTTGCTAATAAACAGAATAGCAAGATTGAAATTTTGTCCATTCAGTATTTAGGGCTTCCTTTTGGTGGAAACCCAAAACTTGGAAGTCTTTTGGAATCCCATTACCCCATTAAAGAAAAAAGTCTGTACGAAGCTTGATAGATGGAAAAGATATCAATTATCTAGAGGGGGGAGGTTAACACTATGCCAATTCATGCTACAAAGCATTCCTTTGTACTATCTATCGCTCTTCCAAATGCTGGTAAAAAGGCAGTGTGGAAGGCCATCGTTCCCAGGAGAGTGAAATTCTTTATTTGGTCTTCTTTGCACAGAGGAATCAACACTTCGAGACATTGAGCGTTGTCTCCTTCTATCTATTTTCTTTGTAAAAAAGGGGAGGATTCCTTTGATCATTTGTTTCTTCACTGCCCCTTTGCTATTAAGACTTGGTCCTTTGTCTTCAAGGAGTTTCGTATCTCTATTTGCCTCCCTAGGAAGGCTGACAAGTGGATGTTGGAAACGTCGGCAGGCCAAAGGTTTTGTGGTGCTGTACGGTGAAGGTTGTGTTATGGACAATGTGGAACGAGCGAAATCAAAGAGCTTTTCAAAACAATCATAGTTCAAAGTACTCCTTTGTGGATAATATTCGATACTTGGCCACGTGTTGGTGTACAAGATACAAAGTCTTTGGTAATTATGGTTTTTCCACGATAATTAACAACTAGATGACACTTTTTTTATAACTGGGAGTCATAGCTTTACTCCCTTGATACCCAGGGGCCTTTGCGGCCGCCCCAAGGCAACTGGATGGCCTTTTTGTAGTTGGTCTTTTGTGGGAGGGGTTTTCGTTACCCCTCGCCCTTGGGTTGTCTTCTTTTTTGTGCAGTTAATACATCATTTTCGGTTTCTTATTAAGAGAGAGAGAGAAATATATGAGAAACTTCTCCTGAAGTGATCGCTCACATGGGTCGTTAAAGCACCTGGTTCATTGGTATATCTCTTCTCGCATTTGCGAAGAGGGTGGATTGGGTATTGGCATTCTATTAAAGAGAAATCAAGTGAAGTTTTAGTGTGGAAAGTTCTGCATTATGGCGAAACGTAATAGCCAGCGTCTATGGTACAGACGCATTGGAAAAAAGAGTTGGAGGGTCTCGTAGCCCTTGGTTTAATATTCAAAAGCAGTGAATTTTCCTCCTTTGAGGTAAAGAATGGAAAGCCTCGGGATTCAGCCACTCCTGGAAACTTGAAGTTAGAAGGCTGTTGAAGGATGATGAAATTTCTGATTATGTAAACCTTTTAGCCAGCTTGAACAAGATTTCCCTAAATGAAGAAGAAGACCAATTGAGCTAGAATTTGGATTCTACAAGAGCTTTTTCTGTCAACTTTTTATGTAAACTGAGAGATTCCTCTGAGGTCTTGCCTTTAATTATTGTTCAAAATTATGGAATTCTCGTTGGCCAAAGAAGGTCAGTGTCTACTGTTTGGAAAGGTTAATACAGCCAAGATTCTTCAGAAAAAGTTGCTTTATTTGTCTCTTCAGCCGTCTTATTATGTTCTTTGCAGGGAGCGAATGAAAGTCAGATGCATACTTTCTCTTTCTGCACATTTGTTGCAAGATGTTGGTATGTTTTATTTGAGATGTTCAGCCTTTCATGGGTTTTGGACAAGGAAGCTTCAAGATCAGTTTTCTAGCTTATGTTCGACCCTCGTTTTAATCCTAAGCAAGTCTACTTTGGGTTAATGGCTCCAAAGCCCATAATCAGTGAACTTTTGAAGGATCTAAGAGGCTTCCAATGGAATGTTTCGACACTACCAAATTCAAAGCTTCTCAATGGTGTGCTCTTTCCAATCTCTTTGCTGACTATCCTCCTAGCTTGATCTCTTCTAATGGGGAAGCTTTTATTTCTCCAGTGTAGTGTTTATCTTTCCGTTCAGCTTTGTTTGTTTTTTGCTTTTATTTTATTTTCTTCTCGCTCCTTTGGAGTTTGTATCTTTAAACATTTTATGTTAATTTTTATATATATCAATGAAAAGTTTGTTTCTTGTTAAATAAAATAAAATAAAAATATCTCATAAAGTTTAATATTATAATTTGGGATGAAGAATCTAACCTCCAAGGCTTTTATGACACCCTCAAGTTCTGTTGCCTTCTTAGACCACTCCTCCGAACTTTCTTTGTAAAGTTCAACAAGCTTATTGATCTACAAAGTCAATTAACAAAGTGATATCAAGATCACTAATTACTCTCTCTGCTTTCTAGTGACTCCCTCTATAAGAGTAACAGCACCGAGATATAATAAACAACTGACCGTAAAATATAAATTAAAAAATAGTTTGATACATTTCCATATCAAAACAATAGGAAATAAAATTCCTTTTCTAGACCCGAAGGTACCTAAACTTTCCAACAATTACCTGTTTGAAAAATGCAGACTCAAATCCACCTAAAAAGCATTAGCAGTTAATAAACAAGTAAAATAGTTCTATTCAATGATAGGTGGTTTGTGCAAATTGCTCTAATAAATATGTTTCAACTTTCTTACCAAACTCACATATAATGCTATTACATCTTTTTAGATTAATATCCTCCTAGAAGAACATATAGTTGCATTAAAATAAACGTCAAACACCAATGCTCAAGAAACTACTGACTGTTGATATTTCAGCACAAAGACGCTCCTCATTTTCTGCAGCACTTTTTCTTGACAAGCACAATTCCTGAACAAGTAATAAATTAATTAGCAATCATCGGCCGATAAAGAACCTAGAGAATTTTCAACTTGTTGAAAAACAAATAAAACATATAACACCTCCTGTGCAGATGTTAGCTTCATTTCAAGTTCTTTCACACTATCCTTGTTCCATTTTAAGGCATTGGAGCATTCATCTAACTTTCTCTCAACCTAAAATCAATAAGCACCAAAAAGTGAATGATAGGGTATACATTAACATCCATATATTTTTAAAAACAAGGAATCAGTCTCCTCTAAACCCACATACATCTCTAACTTTCGCAGACATTTCGACCTCAACATCAGAATGAACTCTACGCTGCTCAATGATACTGCCTACTTTAGCAGTTAACTCATCATTAAGCCACACATTATGCCTCTCAATGAGTTCTTTCTCCTGCATAAAGTCAAAAGAAGAATGTAAATACCACACGAATAGGCATTAAAAAAAATAGGACGAAGGCCATGACATTAAAGCAAGTAACACGTTGCTTTTTGTTTTTGTTTTTGTTTTCTATTTCTTATGGTTGCCTTGTTTCAGAACTTGTATTATTGTTTTTCGTTTATTTTCATCTTTGAATGAAAAACTTTGTTATTCATTAGGAAAAGGATTATATATATATATATATATATATTCTCAACGGTGTACTTTAAGTATAGAACTGGTGATTTTTTTTTAACAAGAAACAACTTTTGCAGTGATTTAAAAAGCCCAGCAATGCCAGCGCCTCGCCTCAAAAAGGCGAGGCGAGAATAGAAAGGCGCGCTTAAAGCGCGCGCCTTCTGATGAAGCCCTGAGGCGCAAAGCTCTGCGCCTCAAGAGCCTTCTTCAATATTTAAGAAAAAAAATAAAGAAGTTCATTTATTGTATTTATCCTCGGCAGAAGGAAGGGTAGAAGATAAGTCAAAAGCATTAAAGCAGGTTACCTTTCCTAGATGGTAGCAAACTGCCACATGGCAGTATTTCTCTTTTCTTAAGTACTTTTTTCCATTTATTAAAAGAGAGAAACTTCTCTCTATTTTGTTAAATTCGACTTTGCCTTTTCTAGACACACAAAACAAGAGCCTGCATGGTAGCAAACTGCCATATAGCAGTATTTCCCTTTCCCTAAGTAGTTTTTCCCATTTATTAAAAAAGATAAACTTCTCTTTCTGTTTTATTAAATTCGAATATTACTCATATTTTACCTTACATAATTATTTAAGTTAGTTTTTATTTGAATATTATAGATTTCTTAATATTTCACACCTTAAAAATTGAGTATTTATTGATTTTTACATAACTTATTGTTGGGAAAAAATCTTCTACTTCTACTGCAGGAATAAGCAGAAAATAACTGAGAAATTTAAAGAAAGCAATAAAATAAAGAAACACAAGAATTAACGTGGAAAAACTCTAAACCGGAGAAAAAACCACGGCCCACAAGGGAAAATCCACTATGTGAAAAATTATTACAATCATATGGATTTCTCTCCCCGACCCCAATTACACAAAACACTCTTTCAAAGCAAATACCGCTCAGTTAACTAGAGCTAGTATATCAGGCTTAAAGTATTTCAATTGGGATGATTAAAACTCAAGCCCATGAGCTCCTTTTATAGTAGTTGAAACACATCTCCTCCTTGTACTTTTCCGATGTGGGACAACTTCTAGCACATGGAGACCATCCTTGTATTCTTCCAATGTGGGACAACTTTAATTCCAATATTTTGACAAAACCCAACACTTATGTTATATCTTGCTTATTTCTATGAAGTTTTGTTATCATGTACATATATATATACATTTATGTATCTTTTATGTATAGTGCGCCTTGCAAAAAAAAAAGTTCGCGCTTTTTTTTGCGCCTTGCGCTTAAGCTCCAAAGGTCTATTGCGCTTTAGTGCACCTTGAGCTTTTTAAAACACTGAACTTTTCATTGATATATGAAAAGGAGAAAAGTTCAAGGATACAAACTCTTTTCATATATCAATGAAACATTGTTTCTTGTTAAAAAAAAATCAAAAAGCAACATAGAACAGATTAACTAGGAAGGGGGAGAAAAAATTCCAATAATTCATACAAATGTCTTGCAAGGAATAACTGGGTAAAACTTAGAAAGAGCAGGCCATTTTGAAGCATTTAATCTAGCCACTTCACAACAATCCATCCAATTTAGAAAGAGCACACCAGATGTCTTGCAAGGAATAACTGGATAAAAACTTAGAAAGAGCACACCATTTGGAAGCATTTAATCTAGCCACTTCACAACAATTCATCCAATGCGTGTGATCATGTTTAAAGATTCTTCGATTTTGTTCCAACCAAAGCTCTGAAATAATGTCTTTAACTGCATTTATCCAGAATAAGTTTGGCCTGAGGGCCAAAGGCAGACCAATAACAGCGGACATTGCTTTGATAATCTTGAGAAGAAAAAAAAAACCCAATGCAAAAAGAAGATTCTGAAGCAATAATTCCAGAAAGATAAAGCAAATAGACAGCAAAAAAATACATCCACGGGTAAAAATATATATCCATGGATATTTAGTTATATTGATAATTTCAAAATAGAATGTACTAATTCCATCACTGCACAGTTGAGATGAAGATTAAAAAAATACCTCCACCTTTTCATTGGTTTATTTTTATTTTATTTTATATAAATAGCGTTTAAAAAAGTCTTCCACACAACTCTGAAGAAATTGGCCCCACACTAAAATTTCTTCCAAAATAAAGCTTTTAATAGAAGGAGATAAACTCACATATGATAGTGTCTTCTTCCAAAAGATTGGTACCATCTTTTTTGTTCCTTTTTAATGAAAATTTCTTTTCTTGTTAAAAAAAAATATTGGTACCATCTTCATTTTGTATTTCCACTTTTTTTGTTTTTCTGATGAGAAACAATGTATAGATCAAAAATTTTTAAAAAGTATATATATATATATAAAGAGCAGCCAAATGGCAGGGGACGAGAAGGCCCTTCTTAAAAGAACTAACGGATTACATCTTTCCAATCTTGAGAAATAAAGGATAAACTGTAGTTACAAAAGAATCTCCTATATTAAGGCACCAAGAAGCCATATTAATTTTACACTCTCGCAAAAAAAAATATATATCACAAGAATTGTATTGTTGAAAACTCGATTCCTTTCTTCCTAATGCTCCAAAAAATAGTTATAGCAACACAACACCAATGGCTTTTAGCTTTTCCTTTCAATAACCATCTTGAAGCACTTCAAGAAGCCAATCATCCACCATATTAGGGAGGCACGCAAAATACCAAACTCGTTCAACAAAAAAGACCAACAATTAGCCACAAAAGGGCAATGAAGGAAAAGATGGTCAATAGTTTCTTCGTTCCTGAGGCAAAGGCAGCAAGTTAAGGGGGATATAGACCAGGAGCTATTTTGGGTATTGATGCTTCTATGAGCCAAGCTACACAAGAATACTTTAACTTTTTTTGGGTAAGAGAACTTCCAAATCAGATAAATGAGGGGGGATTTTAGCTTAGGAGAGATTTTTGTTAGCTTGAGGAAGGTGGGTTGGTGTTAAAACGTTTCCCCCTCTCAAGAGACCATTCTACCTTGTCCTCCCATGTCCGCAATGAAAAGAATCCAGTTTTCCACTAAAAGCAATCAATTGGTTGTTAGTTTGGTCCATGATACCGCTTCTAATGCCCAGATTCCAATAGCCTTGCGCACTTCATTCCAGCAATCAGCCACTGTATTCTCTTTCATAAGCAAAATATTGTTAATATCACAGAATTTGTGTTCCAAAGGCAAGGTTCCCAACCAAGTATCCTTCCAAAACTTGATTCTACACCAATTTTGCACCTTAAAAGAGATGTACTTCAGGTGTAGGGACTTCATTTTGCTATGCCAATCAACAATCACCTCAGAGCCTTCCCTCATAGGCGTTTGGGGCACATGTTCAACATAAGTAGCTAGGGAATGTTAAACCTAGGTTTAAATTTGGAGGTGTTGTAATGTCTGGAATTGGAAAGCCTGTTTTTGGGGCAGGAATGGGTAGTCTGGGATTTGGTAGCTTGTGTTCGCGGTGCAGGAATGTGTAGCCCTGGTTTGGGCTTCCTAAATTTTTTTTTTTAACTTTTCCACCCTTTTAAAATATTGTATTTAATTTTCTAAATTTAAAAATAAAAAATATAAATATAAAAGATTAAAATTGAAAAAGATAAAAAGAAAAAAATATATATGGTGGGTAACTCATCAACCCATGGCATTTAATTGAGAAACCCAAGATTTTTAATCGGCATGGGTTTGGCTAATGATGCCAAACCCACCACATTCCAACCCCTCCCCCAAATATCCCCATGAGGATCCAACCAATAGGGTTTCTGCCATAGATGCTCCAAATAACTCATTTCCACTGCGGTTTTTCCTCCTCGGTGAACCTACAAAGCCATTTCTGAAAATGGCATATTATTTCTCTGTTTGTATTTTGTAAGCACTCGGCCCTAGACCACAATAAGCTTTTTTTGTTTTTTTGAACAATATGCAAACCTCTTGTTGATAAATGAAAAGGAAAAATTTTGTTCAAAGAAGCACCCAGCTCATCAAAAGTCTTTGAGGTGGCCATCTAACCATTAAGAAAAATCTGAACAGTCCTCTCCATACAACTTTATTAAGAGCTTTAAAGATGGAGAAAGCATAGAGAGATATACTATTAAAAACAAAGAGAGAAAGGGTGAATCTACCACCTTTAGAAAGCATAAGGTTCCTCCAATTTTCAAGCTTGCACCTGAATTTGTACATTGAGCATCCCTGAAAGACACCTTCCTATGGTTGCCTCCCAACATAACTCCAAGATACTTTACACCCAAAATCAATCATAGAAAGTTGGCACATTTCTCGAAAGAAACAATTTCATTGATGTTATGAAATTACAAAAGACTCCCAAGGAGTTACATGAAGCACTCCCAATTGGAAATGAGGGAAGTGTAGCTAAAATGTTGAAAAAAGGGGGAACATTCCTCTCGATTATGATACCCACTAAGATACTTACTCTAGATTTACGGATAGCCACCAGTTGGAACCCAACAAAAAGATAGTGAGAAAAATCCACCATTTGGAGAGGTCGTTTTCAAAGTTCTAGCAGAAAATAATCGTATCATCGACATATTGGAGGTACATGATTTCCACTTGTTGACAGCCTATTGGAGTGCTTCTTCTCACGGCAAAAGTGAATGGAACGGTTGAGGGAGTCTCCCAAGAGGGTGAAGAGGAAACGGGGGTCTCCCTATCTATAATGCCCTCTTTTGTAATTACAAAATAATAAAAAAAAAATCCCTCAAGGTTTCCCGTTAATGAAAAATGTTGAATGAAATATAGCCTTTCATCCATTTCCTCCCTTTCTTTCTTGCCAATGCCCTTGTACTCAAGCATGACCTTTAAGGGCCACTTATTGACTCCCTATTGGTGTGCTTCTAAGGAACCTCTTCTTCACAGCAAAAGTGAATGGAATGACCGAGGGAGTCTCCTAAGAGGGTGAAGGGGAAACGGGGAAAGGTCTCCCTGTCTAAGGCCCCTTTTTCTGAAGAAATTTTCCCTCTAGGTTCCCATTAATGAAAATGGTGAAGTTGATTGATGAAATACAGCCTTTCATCGATTTCCTCCCTCTCTTGCCTAACGCCTTGTACTCAAGAATGGCCTCTAAGTTCTACCAATCGACTGTTTCATAGGTTTTTTCAAAGTCTAGCTTAAGAAGAAAGCTCTCCTTTCTATCCTTACAATATCCCACTATATATCTCTTTCTTCTTGAGCAATGATGTGAAAGAAATTTGTATTTTCGTCCCTTAATGAGCCATCTATCTTTACATGTTTACCCTCACCTACTCTCCTCTTTCAAGCTAATATCCTCGATTGCAGCTTTAAATATTTTGTCCTAAAACTTAAAAGATCTTCTTCAAATAGTCCAAAACTTGCTCTAACTCATCAACCTGAGCAATAGGCTTCGACAGGGCTTCTTTCTAGGAGGATATGTCGCCAACAACATCTATATTCCAAGCTTTTAGCATTGGCTTGATTTATTTAGGGTCTTTTAGAAACACATAACAACCCAGCCTTGGACCTACATATTTTTCAACATCTCAAACTCTTTAAGAAAGGATTGATGGGTCAACCACATATTCCCAAACTTGATACCTGATGGATCATGCCCTCCTATCCAGTGAACTGTGCATATTCATGAATAAATGAGGTCTTGGAACATGTCGCAAACCCAAGCTAACTTAACAATTGGAAATTCTAATCCTACTACCCTAAGGATTTTCATCAAAAGCAACCTAATACACTTTCCTTTAAAAAAAAAACACACATACACAAACAATACTTCCAATAAGTTATCAAAATGAGCATTACCCCATAAGCCCTTGATAGGAGGGCTGGATATAGGAAGGTGGCATAAGATAGAATATGGAAGTCTACCTGAAATGAAGTTTGTTTTCAACTTCTGACTTCTTCATCACATATAGAGATAATTTGCCATCCATATTATGAAGTTCAAGTGTCCAACATGAACTATGAAATAGACAATAATGAGGAAGTGGAATGACCTGTGAAAGACGAGCGAATTCAGCACGGGAACGCACCAACTCCATGTCGACCTCACTTAAACGGGCTTCTCTTTGAGCAGCCGTTTCAGATAAATTTACCTTCAAAGCGATAAAAAATAAAAAATAAACATATTCAGCGGGAAGTCATGTTGTCAGCAAAAACCTTTAATTTTTACCACAAATTTTATTACATATGATGACAAATCAGAGAAGTAAAAGGAACTTACAATCTTATCAAGATAAGACTTTATAGTGGCATCTTTTTCACCAATTTCTAAATCCTTCTGCTCAATGAGCTCCATCAACTGCCTTTTTGATTTATGCAGTTCGGATAACTCTGTATTTAGCCTCTCTATCTCCCCATCCTTCCCAATCTGTGAGCACCAAAAAATCCAATGTTTGAAAATATTCCATACAAACAAAAGGCACGGTAAATGTTTTAGAAATTGAATGAAAGAACAAAATAGTATTCTTACCGAAAGTAAATTGAGTTGGTGTTTTTGGGATTTGACTTCGGCGAGCTCGGAGAGTCTGAGCTCAAGGGTGGTTTGAAGCTGTGCATTCTGAGACTGGAGGTCAGAGAACTCGGCGGAAAGAGAAAGAAACTTCTGGTCGAGAAGGGAACAAGTCTGCTCCGCAGTAATTGAAGCAGCATCGGCTTGGGCTCTGACGGTCTCGAGCTCGCTGTAGAGGCCTTTGATGAAGGCATCGGCCTTCTCCGCCATGAAAGCGGCGTCGTTGGAGTGCCGAGAGAACTCCTCGTCGGAGATGAATAGGTGGGCCATTTTATTTTCTTTTTCTCTATTCAGGGTAAAAGTGCCCGGCGCAGATCAGCTGCGGGCTAATATAACTTGGCGAGTCAGTGTTGATCGTTAATGGCGGTAGCACATAAACGAGAGAATGGTTTTCGACGAGAGCAGAAACGGGGGAAGGGGAGAAGGAATTTGAGAAGGCACTGCAATTGCGCGTGGGTGGCCAAGCCCTTCGTTTAAAGGGTTAATTACTCTTCTTCTCGGAAAACTAATAATAATAATAATTAATCTAAAAGAAAAAGCAAAACAAAACAAAATTTAGACGTTAATTCGCCATTCTAAATCTAATCCATGTGGTAGGAGTTTTGAAGCCCTAATCCTAAAAATATTCAAAAAAAAAATGAGAGAAAAAAAAATCCACAATTAAACTAAGCCGCAAGGGAAAAGGTCCCAATGGAATGAAGAAAAAAACAAACAGACAAAACAGTGAAAAATATATCCAAATTACTATCCTATAATGAAAACAACAACAAAACAATACATTTATTTAGCGGTCAAGGTACCTTATTTTTTTTTTCTTTGTTTGCAAGTAAGGAGTCCAATAGCTTATCTCCGCAATTATTACAAAAATAAAAACAAGAATAAAACTCGTCGGTTTGGTTGATCGATTGAACATCTGAACAATTCGATTCAAATTTGATTCTATGCTATTGATAAATATTCTCGCCAAAGATACTAATTCTTGTGACGTTTGGGTGGAGGATATTCAGGATATTCGCACTTTGACCAAGAAGTTTAACCAAATTCAATTCTGGCATACTTTTCAGTCATATACCATTGGTCGATATGTCATTGGTTTGAATCTTCACTCCCCATTGTTGTACTGAAAATAAAAACAAAAAATAGCTATCAAACCTATTTTGTTCATATATATATTTTTTAAGGAAACAATAAATATAAATTTTTATCAAATATATTTATATTTTCTGTTCTAAACAAATTAAAAACAAAAACAGAAAATATGAAATATGAAACCAAAACGTTGCCAAATACTAAATAGGCCATTAAATATTAAATTTAAAATATTTAACCCATCACTAAAAAGTAAAAACCAAGTTAGATTTGGAAATGGTCACTGTCGGTAATTTGGGCTGGGCCCAATTCCTTCAACAAAGTCGATTATATATTTTTTTTTAATGGCGGTCACCTAAATATGGTTGCTCTACAAATTCAAAATTGCTCCAATCAAATTAATCACTAGTTTCTTTTTTTTTTTTAGCTAAAACCAAAGAGAGTTAAAAAGAGCCCTCGTTAAAAAAAGAAAATCACACATTTAAAATAATATTAAAATTCTAAAAAGTTGGGGTGGAGATCGAATTCATAATATCTTGATTGAAGATATATGCTAATTACCGTTGAACTACGTTCGTTTTGACTACATTTTCTTATTTGTTCTTCGTATATTTGCTAAGATCTTTATAACACTAACCTTGACGGTTTCAAATATAGGACAATAAAAAAAAACTCTAGAACACCATTTTTATTCTTTTACAAGGATCTAAAACATTTCATTAAAATAATGAGGTATGCATGAACGAAATGCACAAAAACATGAAAAAATGCCGTAAAAGCGTAATTTATCAATTTAAAATTTTGTTTTTAGTAGTAGTTTAATGAGGTCCTTATTTTCTTTTTCCTCTTTTAAAATTTACGTTTTATCCTTTTTTATAAATATATCATTTTAATTTAAAGATAATATATTGGAATGACTACTTTTTAATCTTAACTTCATAAATGTCTTTAATTTTTAAATTTTACATTTTTAGAGGTTTGCATGTAAGATTTTCTGCTAATACTGCTCGCATTTTATTTTATTATAGTTTTTAAATTTAAAATATTTGAATCCTTAATTTGTAATTATATTCATTTAATTATTGTGGGTCCCATTTGAATTTGCAAACACTAATTCCTCAAATCACTCCCTCAAAGATTTTTGCCAATAATACGTAAAATGTCCGCAATTAAGAACTTCCAATTTTGTTAAAGACAAGTTTTGAATTTTTCCTAATGTTCTATTTCTGCTTAATCCGTCTGCCGTCTTCGTGCTTTGTTTCTAGTTGTTGGCTACCGTCTCCAACTGCTGTGTTTGTTCCCCACATCGTCGTTTCATACCTTCACAGCTTTCGTCAACGAGGTATTGATTCATTCTTCGCCGTCGTTTCAGACCTTTAATTTCCGTCACCGAATAAAGTTTCGGTCGATATCTTTGCACGTTTCCGACGCCGAGCGGTGTGTTCCTCGTCTCCCGTCCCCTTCTGTTTATCCAATCGTAAGTTAATAGTCTTCCCGTTAAGATTGGTATATATGCGGATATATTGTATTTATGTGTATATATCTTATAGTTACATATACATAAGATATGATAATAATTTTTGGCTCGCATTGTCAAGTAATTTTGTAGAAAGAGTAAAGAAAATTGAAGTTCTAAACGTCTCATAGTCTTAGTTATTCCGTTAATATTTATATATATAGGGATATATTATATATATGTGCATATATCTTATAGTTATATATAAACCTTGGAAACGGCACAAACCTCAGAGACGGTAGCAGACGGAAGAAGCGAAAGGGTCACTGATTTCTAATTTGGGGATTTTTAGAATTTGGTGGATATTTTTTTGAGGTTTTCAAATTTGGAGAATTTGGGGATTTTTTTTTTTTTATGTTTTAATTAGTATCATCTAAAATTATGGGATCCAAATTATAATATTTAAATTAATCAATTTTTACGACATGATATTTAAGTAACTTATGTGATGAGTATCCTCTAACTCTATATAATTTGGATCTTTAAATCGCTGTGAACGATTTCACTTATCAATTCAACTGCTTTTCTGTCACTTTGGATTGGGCCTTGTTGTTTTTGTTTTATTGGGCTTAACTTACGTGGGTCGGTTTGTAGATTATCTTCTTGGACCTATTTAAATGTTGTTATTGGATGTTGAAATATTGTTCATTGTTATTAAATTTATACTTTTTTTAAACTCATTATTTTCGAACAATTAAATTGACGCAAGGTTTGTCTGAAATCTGTGAGTTGCTATTGCTCTAATTAATTTGGTTGATTCAAATAACATTTTTTAGTGTGTGTCTAAACATCTTTTGAGCGTGTCTCATATTTTCATTGCTTTAAATGTGTTTTTAAACTAAGTTTGATTTTAATTAGTGAGTTACCGAAGCATGAGTTTTTCAACTTACATTGGAAAGATGAAAGGTTCTCTTGTTTGTTTTGGGTGGGTTTTCATTCACTTTAGCTTTATTTTTACAAGAAAGCAAAATAATTACACCATAATTTAAACAAGTCACGCTTTCAATTTGCTATAGGTTATCGTCGATATGAGTTTAGCTTAATGATAATTGGTATTTGTGTCTAATCGAGAGACCATGAATTCGATTATCCCCAACCACACTTGTTGTATTAAAATCTTTTCTTCGCCATCGTCAAAATTTTGAAAATAAAAATTACAACACTTAGATTTAGATCGACCAAACCGACTACCAAATAGATCAAAATTAAAAGGAACTAATTGAAACTGACAAAATCTATTCAAACTAAATCAAATAGATCGTCATTTTATGTTCTTTATGTTGCTAGTAATGTTACATGGTCCTCGTATTAATAATATAATTATATTGATAACTAATTTGTGATTTGAATGTGTCATAGACTTTCTTATAGTTGGATATCCAATATCTTTGAGATCATGATCTTATATATAATTTATTAAACATATTTCAGTTCTCAAAAGAAAGAGAGTTTTAACTTTGTCATATTTAATTAAGAGATATATCTTTCCTTAAATTAAAGTTGTTGCTTCAAATCTAATATAGATTAACGTTAACTTACAAATAATTTTTCTTCTAATGATCTAATATGCATGATTTTTGAAATATTAACTTTAGATTAAAACATATATCTTAAAACTGGATTGATTGACAAGTATATTTCGAACCAATCAAACAAATTGAATTTCAAGAATTGTTTGTTTGGTTTGGGTTTAAGGTTTAGAGTCGTTTATAAGTTGACATTTACAATTCGGTCTGTGTTGAAAATTACGAGAGAATAACAGAGAAATTGAAGCCAATTTCATCTATGGGAAAGATAGATCCAATTTATGAATGAACTAATGGTGATGCTGATGCACTTGTCCCAACAATATACAATATTGAAGGATAGAAGTTAAAAAAAACCCTAAATTACCCATTTTGATGAAAAACTGGAAAGTCAAATGGCAGTTGCTAAAATGGGGAAGAACAGAACAGTTGACTTTTTATTAAGGTTTCAATCAAAGAGCAGAGGTCTCAGAACTCAAAAGTCAGAAGCTCGGCTCAGCTGGTATTTCAGAAAACAAAAATGATGTGTTATTCAAATGAAGCTAAAACAAAACCTGAAGAACAAGACTGTGTAGTTTAGTTGACTAGTTGTACTCAACAGTTGTATTGCCTTAGCTTTTTCTCTTCTATTGAACTTCAATTCCCTTCTCACCCCCACGAAGAAGAAAAAAAACACAAGCCAAACCAAAATTGTCCTTTTCTAAATCCTCTCTTTACCTTCTTCACCTTAAGAAACCCAATACCCCACACTTACATTTTATTTATTTTCTCTCTTTTTATACATTTTATACTTTCTTATGGTAGACGATTAAAAGGCAGTAGAAATTATTTAGGCTATCTAGAAGAGAAGAAAATTCGAAAATTTCCAAAATATTTAGAAATTTGGTCGAAAAAAATAAGGGAAACCCAGGACGCCGTCCACCTCCTTCGCCCAATCGGCCATCTCAGCGAACGAAAGGTGAGGCACCCCACCACAAAAGTTTGAGGTTCTGTAGCGAGATGCGGGCAGCTAACGCCCAAATTGGCTTCTCAGATGGGGAGACTAATCGATATTGTCCTGAGCAATCGAACCTACAGAACCTTCCCTCTTCCTAGTGGGAGCACGATCGAAGGGGGAGCAACTGACGGGAGTCTCAGGTCCCGACCCATGAAAGGTTCGGAAACGAGGATCTCTAACGTCTCTCAGACTCCACGAAGGGTCGAAAGACCTTGGAGATTAATCAATAAAGTAGCTACCTTTATTTATAAGGGAATCAAGACTGATCCTCCTAACAAACTCAAATACAAAATCGATCTAAATCAAACATTTATTAATGGTCTGACCAGTTAAATTAT